CTCTGTTTTTTTTTAAGATTTTATTTATTCATGAGAGAGAGAGAGGCAGAGACACAGGCAGAGGGAGAAGCAGGCTCCATGCAGGGAGCCTGACATGGGACTCGATCCTGGGTCTCAAGGCGGCGCTAAACCGCTGAGCCAAACGGGCTGCCCTCTCTCTGTTTTTTCTATTAGCCAGTGTTCCTCTCTGATTTCCAAATCTAATTTCTCAAACTCCTACTCTTTGTGTTATATTCCAGCAATTGTCATGTGATTTCATAAACTAAGCCTCTACTGTTGAACAGGTGTATTAGCAACTATCATAAACAACCTAATTTACAGTGATACTTACCTTTGCAGATACTTCACTTAATGAATTGGGGTTTGTTTCTTTATGTCAGATATTGGAATGTACATAAAAGAAAATCCCTGTCCTCAAATGATTTGTAGTTGAGTGGACGAAATAGGAGTTTTTCTAATTTGTTTAATTGTTTATTCTCCATGGTGTACTATGTGTACAAACATCAGTTTTAGGATATAGAAGAATGCTATTTACCAAACAAATAATTTTGGAGACTTTGTATATATATTGGCATATTAAATTGAGAACTAACCTTGAATTTCAATCTAACATATCATATAGCATGGAAAGAAGCCTGCCATAAGAAAATTTTGAGAGATGAGTATATCTTAGATATGTTTCTGTCATTTATCCAATTTGGACCACTCACAAGTTATAAAAACTTTTTTTTAAAGATTTTATTTATTTATGCATGAAAGATACAGAGAGGCAGAGACACAGGCAGAGACACAGGCAGAGGGAGAAGCAGGCTCCTTGGAGGGAGCTGAATGTGGGACTTGATCCCAGATGCTGGGCTCATACCCTGAGCCAAAGGCAGACGCTCAACCATTGAGCCACCCAGGTGTCCTAGTTATGAAAAACTTAAAAATGAATGCAAATTTAGTATTTTATAAGACTGGTTTTCTAAAAATATTGAGATTTCAAATATTCCTAATTTAAATATATTAAAAGCACATTTTATTACATTGTAAAGTAAAATTATCAGGTTAATGACAGAAGTGGCCACACCATCATAAATATTTCTAAACAGGCTGTTACTCAGATGAACTAAGTTACTGTATCACATAATAACATAAGTCTGCCGTGTGAAATACAAATTTTCATCCATCTTGGGAAGCAACCTCATGGCCTTTTGAACACCAGCAACCTCTCTTTTTTTCCTCTCCGAAATAAGGTAATAAAGCTATGAATCTAGCCGAAATTAAGGAGTTTCAGAAGTTGCATATTCAACAAACATTTAAATGAGTGCCAGTTCTGTGTCAGGCAAAGTGGCCAGCAGAATGCTAAAGCCAGGCCAGGGCCTCAGGGAGATAAACAATTACAGTGCAGTGCTATCAGCTATGAGCCACACGGAGTGTCGGGGAAGCCGAGTGGAAGAAGGCAGACACAATCATCCTCCTGAGCCAGAAGAAGAAAGAGTGGGAGTTAGGGCAGCATGGAAATGAGGTGAGGGCAGGAAATCAGATCCAGGCCGAGAAAAGGCCAATGCCTTGCAGAAAGTGGAAATAGTGTAGAACAACTGCAGAGGAGGGTGTGAGGTGAGGTTGCATAAACCCACAGGGGCCAGTTTGCTGAGAGCCTTGTTTGACCCGAAGGATTTGGATTTTATCTTAAAATCGGTGGGTACCCATTGAAGACAGGAAGAAAGTGAGGGACTTGTTCACATTTGAATTTTAAAAGCGACTCTCTGACATTTGTATCTTCTTCACCTTCCTGAAACCTCTCCTCCTCTTGTGGAGGCTCTCTCTCTCTCTCTCCACTACCTGAGTCCTAGCTCTTAGCTGTTTCTCTTTGGAAAGGACAGCTACCCCCAGCGTTCACGTTGGATGTCTTGATTATGCTCTGTTTGCAAAAACATTTTTGGAACAGAAAATAAGCTTTAAGAATGTTCTTTTGCCTCATGTTTATAAAGTGTTTAAGCTTGCATTAAAGTTTTAAATCTTCTCTTGCCCGGAGTCAAACGTTTTGGCATCTTTTAGGTAGCCTCATTGTTGGAGCAAGGCACTTTACATGCATTTTCTCATGAATCCTCTGAAGCTGGCAAGGTCTGTACCATGATTCTCATCATACACATGAGTGCAGAAAATTGAAGAGGGGTGCTCAAGTCAAGAAAGCAGAAAGAGTGCTCAGTATACATTCTTGGAAGCATGCAGCCACGATTTGAATGCAGACAAAAGCTACAATGTTTAGGCTCCTCCTACCCTGCCTACTAACTCCGTGGGTTGATATTTTAGAGGGTATAAGACACACTAGGGTTCTGATATGGTCGGGTAGTTTGATGAGGGGATATGGGCAACCATACAGATAAACTTGATTTAGGCTTTTTAGAGTCAGTGATAGAAATGGGAAAACTAGTAAAAGAAGGTTTCGCTCGTAGTTCCTCATGTAAATACAGCCCCTCCTCCTTTCTGTCTCACATTTCTGGATTTTGTCTTAATAGCACATTTATGGCTTATTTGTTTATTATAATCAAATGATAGAATAGGGACAGAGCAAGGACAGTAAAGGGTGCTCATATTTAAGGATGACTTATCCCAGGTCTGTCCATAAGTTTCTTTGCCTACTCCCCTTCTTATCTTTTTCCTACGTTCTCTAGGCAGATACTGCTGTTTTTGGATCCTGTGGGTTAAAAAGATTTGTGTCTCAGAAGCAAAGAAATAAACAAACTAGTGCTGACCTGACATTTTAATCCCTCTACTGTTTTTCTTTTCTTTCTTTTTTTTTTTAAGATATTATTTATTCAGGAGAGACAGAGAGAGAGAGAGGCAGAGACACAGGCAGAGGGAGAAGCAGGCTCCCCATTGAGCAGGGAGCCTGATGTGGGCCTTGATCCCAGTCACCTGAGCCAAAGGCAGATGCTCAACCACTGAGTCACCCCAGTACCCACCCCCCTGCTGTTTTTCATTCAATTAGCCAGAAGACACATGCTTATACCTTCAGCTTCTGAAATTCTAAGAGGTGTGACTTTAACTTGAAGAGAGATAGGAGGTGGAAGTCACATTCCTAGGCAACCAGAGTCCAGATACCGATTATTCCCTAGCAGAGAGTTCCTGAATAAATGTAGAGTGGAATTTGAAAAATAACATTGCAGGAAGTACTATTCATTGTTCAAAGGGAGGGGAAGAATTAGGTAGTAGATGAACATTAAATATAGCTCATGTTTCTTAAAAAAATATTAGATTATACGTGAGTACTTGCCATTTCTCTAGGTCAGAGATAGATGTTGGCAATTGCATATGGTTTATCCTAATAAAAAGACAGTAGTTTTGACATCTATCCAGTTGACGCGATGAGTTGAGCCTACACTCTTGATTTCCCCTGATAACAGACTAAGTGCAGCCAGGCCTGGCAAACATGGGCTACTATTGCCTGTTTCCTGATCCAGCTGCTGGATAACTGGCTCAACAGAAGTCTATTGTATTTATTGTAAACCTGTTGGTGCCAGTTATACTTGTCATTGTGATTAGACCATTTAAATATCAGTAATAGTTATTTAAAACTATGACACGTAAGTGCAAAAGGAAAGAGTGTTATTTCTGTGAAAGGAATATTGAATTCTTTACAGAGGGTCTATTCAAGGGAGTGACTAAAAAAGTGAGCAGGAAAACTGTGAAAGATTGGAGAGAAAGTTGTGAAGATTTGAAAGAAAATATCCTGACTTTGCAAGCTTATTGTTTTGTCTTTGTTTTTTAGTTTTCAGTCCACTAAGAAAATTAAAACTGGAAATTGTAGGAAATAAATTCTGACTGTGGTTTGTATAAGAAAAATTGGGGAGAGGAATTCCTCAAGGAAAATCTTGGAATTACTTTGGGAAATTAATACATATTTATATGTCTTAAGGTAAAGTAAATGTTTACGGTATGTATAATTTTTTTAAAAACAATTTTTTAAAAGATTTATTTATTTGAGAGAGAGGGAGCACATGCATGCAGTGGGAGAGGTAGAGAGAAAAGGGGAATCCTGAGTAGACTCCATGCTGAACTTGGAGCCTGAAATAGGGCTCCATCCCAGGAGCCTGAGATTCCAACCTGAGCTGAAACCAAGAATCAGACACTGGAGCGACCGGGCCACCCAGGCACCCCAAACAATTTTTTTGATTAACCAGCCAGAACCAGTCAAAATTGCTGCTGCTGTTATGTTTGGTGCCGTAGCATGGTAAGCAGTCACAGCCTTTGCCTCTGTAGTTATTCCAAGGGCCTACATTAACAAAAGAAAACTTTGCCACATGGAGATTTTTTGTCTTTGCTTACTGCATCGTCCTAATGGCACATAACTCGTATTTCTGATTTTAAATTAGGCTTTTAGCAACCAGGTAACATTTAGGTTTATTTTAATAATGTAAACCAGGATATAGATCCTAGGGCTGATTTCCATCTCCTTTGAGTTCCATAAAAATTAAAATCAAAAATTGAAAAAAATAAAGCTTGTAGTTAGTATTAGCTAAAGTCTATTAAACTTAATAAGTTTCTTAGTGTTACTAAGCTGCACAATTTGAATTAGGCAGGGTGTAACTTATTTTAGATTCAAATACTAATTATAGAACTATAATAATTATTTTCTGAACCATTAGGACAAGTTAGTGAAAAAAGACCAAACCTGTAAAATAAAAAAATAAAAGTACATTTTTGTAGTATTAGCATTTATTGAATACTTGCTATATGCCTGGCATTAGAATAAATTTTACATGTGCCTTATCTTCTTTAATCTCCATAGTAGCCCTACTGGGAAGGTCATATTGTTCCCATTTCCTAGACAAGGAAACTGATGCAGTGTTTGAAGTTAAGTAATATGCCCAAAGCCAAGTGGTTAGTAACAGAATTAGGCATCAGATCCATTTTATTCTGAACCCTAGTGCTCATATGCCCATGCTCTTACCACTTTTTTAAAAAAAAATATTTATTTGAGTGAGAGAGAGAGGGAGCACAAGCAGGGGCAGAGGGAGAAACAGATTCCCCACTGAATGGAGAGCCCAAAGTGGGACTCAATCCCAGGACTCTGGGATTGTGACCTGAGCTGAAGGCAGAACTTAATTGACTGAGCCACCTAGGAGCCCCTCCTCTCACCACTTTATAAGGAAGTACTTTTCACCTGAATTTTCAATAGAGAGGTTTTTTGGTTTTTGGTTTTTTGGAGAGGTGATTCTAGACATTATCAGCAGAAGGAGAGAAAGGAGGCAGCCAGTATAGGATGTGTTAATGAAAATGATACTCTCACACAGCTACAGGCACCTGGGCTTCACTCCCACTGGATTATGCCTCAAAGTTGTCCTAGCACCTAAGGGGTAAAGAGGTGGAATGTTCGTTGGGACATGAGCATGTAGATAATTTCTTAATAACATGTTAAAGTGTTTTGGCTTGGAAAGAACCTTTGCGATCATTTAGGCCAACTTTCTCTTTGACAGATGAGGAACCTGAAGCCCAGTGAGGCCAAGTCATTTAAGCCACAGCCACAGGCCTGTTTATCATCCTGGGGCCAGAAACAAATTCTCCTTATCAGAGTCCAAGTGCCTTACTAGCCTATTCATTTTTTTTCTTTATTAGGCTTAATTCTGGACATGCCCTTACTACTGAATTTTGAAGTTTCTAAATTGCCCCAGCCTGTCTTTGTCTACAAATAACAATATTGATTACTCCCTATACCTTACTGTAGAATATGAATGGGGCAAGGATTATGTTTCCCCCATGTTACATGTGGAAAACCTAAAGCTCAAAGCAATACAATGATATCCTCATGCCTATGGATTATAAAACTTAATCCTGAGCGATAATTGAAAATGTAAAGGAATAAAAATGTATTATCTTAGCAAAGATGCCTGAACCATCCAGCTCAAGCCATGTTGTCTCATGGAGCAATCCCTTCCTGTGCTCGTTCTCTTTCTTTAGTCCACTGCTCGGCTGGGCACTCACTGAAAAATCTGCCAACCTCCAACCATTGGTCTTCACCATGTCATCCATAGAGCAAGCATGGTTGTTAGTCATCTCCTTATGACCAGGCAAGTAGGTGTCGCAGCGGCTGTCGCTGTTTCTCCTCCTCCTTCTTTGCTCTGTATGTCCCAAATCCTTTTGCCTTAATCATCTCAGTCCTTATTGCAACCCTGTGTGATATGCGCTATTAACTCAATTTTAGAAACCAAAAATCTAGACTCCAGAAAATTTAAATGATTTTTGCCAATGTCACTTAGTTGGTGAGTGGTAAACCTGGGTCAGCAATACAGATGTTCTGACTCGACATCCTGTCACTGTGTGTGACCTCTGAGTCGATTTCCACATCTTTAGAAAAATAGCATGGAAGAGGGCAGAGGGTATGCCTAGGAAAGAGGACAGTTGTGAAGTTGTAAAGAGGACAATTTGTATATGCTAATATATAATTTACATTCCACTTTTTCAAAAAAGATTTGAAATGCTCATAATAAATATATTAAGATCCAAGCATAGAAAGGGAAAATGTAGGTAATATAGTTGTGGTGAGTGGAACACTAAATTTTAACTATTAGCTAGGAGATCGTATTAAGAAGTAAGAGAATATTTCAACAGTTCTCATGGTTTGGTTTTTTTAAAAGAAAACATGGGCAGCCCCTGTAGCTCAGCAGTTTAGTGCCGCCTGCAGCCTGGGGTGTGATCCTGGAGGCCAGGGATCAAGTCACACGTTGGGCTCCCTGCATGGAGCCTGCTTCTCCCTCTACCTCTGTCTCTGCCTCTCTCTGTGTGTGTGTCTATGAATAAATAAATAAAAATCTTTAAAAAGTAAAAAATAATAATAAAAATAAAATAAAAATAAAACATGAACGTGTCAGGCAGTATCTTTCCCCAGACATGAATTGTAGAAGGATTTATCATGTAGCTTCTTAGAAAAAAGATCTTGAATAACTCCATGTGTAATATTTGGAACAACAGTTTTGCTAAAAACAGAGATATTTTTTAAATTAGTATTGGTTCTTGATAACTCATTTATCGTGGACAGTAATGAAAGTAAACCCTTTGAAAATGTTTCTCCAAAGTCTCTAGGGCTGGGCTAATAAAGCCTAGATTCTCATAATGATAGACAATAATAACTCACACAAGGTAGAGCAGGGCTTCTTAATCTAACGTTGGTCTCTGGATGGAATTCAGAAGGCCTGTAACTCTCCAAAACATCCAATTTGTATACATATGTGATCAGAAACATGGCCCATAGCACTTTAGTCTCAAAGGATAAAAGCTATTGATTTAGGAAAGACATGAAATAATATATGTAAAATGCTTAATAAAATTTAACTGGAAAAGGATTTGCCTTTAATGTTACGGTGGAATAAAGCATATAATGTTGACACAAACCAACTGTGTAGACTTTATCCATGTTATAAGGATGCAGTTAATACAGATAGTTAGAGCCTTGAAAAAAGATACCATCTGCATGCCTGGTAGTTTTCATTTCTGTTGTCCTAGCTCTCTAGAAATAAAGGCTTCTACTTATTTATGAACTAATAAACATTGCCCATTTGCTATAGGCTGGACACTGGAGATGTAAAAATCTAGAAGTCACATTTTCTCCTCATTTCTGTCTTTATCTTATGCTCACATCCAAATTAGCAGCAATTGTGTCAGCGACATCCGCAGAACATATCCTGAATCTATCAACTTCAATAAACGAATCCTTCTGTCTCACTGCAATCAATGCTTTACCGAGCAACCAAGTTCATTTTTAAAAACATAAGTCAGATCCTGTCACTACTTTGCCTAAAAGCCTCTGATGAGCATTTCATTTTGCAAGATGTGGATTTCTAGAGGTAAATGGTAGCTGTGGTTGCACAACATGAATATACTAAATATTGCTGAACAATACACTTAAAAATGGTGAGGATGGTAAATTTTATGTTATGTGTATTTTACCATAAGTTTAAAAAAGGAAAATAAATCATCTGCAACAACAACAACAACAACAACAACGCCTCCCATGGTTTCCCTAGTTGGACTTAGAATAAAACCCCTGCTCTTTAACTGAGGCCTCGCGATCCTGCATGCCCACATCCCCAAGGCATCCAGCATCATTGTCCTCCTTGTGCTCTGCTTGCTGTTCCTCTGACTTAACTGAGTGTATTCCTGCCTCCAGGCCTTTACCCGTGTTGTCTCCTCCAGGACCACTTGCCCTTCTTCACATCTTCTCAAATGTTCTAGCTCTTTCTGACTACCCTTGTGTTATTGCAGCCCCCTGCCCTTGGTGACTCTATTGTATCACTCTGTTTTATTTCATTTTCTTATGAACTTTTGCCCTTATTTGTCTTTTTTATGTTTGTGTTTGTCTTTGCTTCCTTATGTATTTTCCCATGAAGGTAGATTGCATGAGACTAGAGATCTTGCTGTATCCTTAGTGTGGAGAAGGGTGCTTGGCACATAGTAGGTTGTTCAAATATGTGTTGAATAAATGAATGGAGGTGTAGTCCCTTCCCCCAAGGACCCTGTGGTTTCTGTTACTGAGTCTCAGTCTCGGTTGTAATTCTTTGCAAGGTCTTTGAGAGCCTCTCAGCTAGGTCTTACACAGAGAATGGGCAACTAGTTCTGCACAAAATAAAATGATGTGAGTAAGGAGTAGGAGGAGGAGAGCCAAAAGAGTCAAAACACATGAACTATTTCTTCTCTTCTCATTCAAGAATTGAGAGAAACTTTTCTCTTTTCTGTCTCCTTCTTCACCTAAAAAAACAAAACAAAACAACAAACCCAAAAAGCACAAGAGAAAACAAAAGTATAGCTATATATCAGTATCGAGGCATGAACCCTGCCCAAGCTAAGCTTAAAATGAAAATGGCATATGATACTATATATCACATTCTCAGAAATTCCTAATTCCACTGGACCATTTACTCCTCCAGAGTCCATTATGAGCCCTCAATCGTATTATTCAACAAGAATGTCTTGCCAATGGGCAGCCCGGGTGGCTCAACGGTTTAGCGCCACCTTCAACCCAGGGTCTGATCCTGGAGACCTGAGATCGAGTCCCATGTCGGGCTCCCTGCGTGGAGCCTGCTTCTCCCTCTACCTGTGTCTCTGCCTCTCTCTGTGTCTCTCATGAATGAATAAATAAAATCTTTTATTTTTTAAAGAATGTCTTGCCAAAATGAGTCCATAATCTTACCAATCTATCATTCCAGAATTAACATATCTAGCATGTAGTTCCCCAATGAGCATTCAAACTCACCTTTTCCATCCTGCTGTCAAACTACAGGCCATTTTGTAGATAACTAGAGTTTCATGTTCATGTTTTTCATTAATATTTTTCATGGTAAATATAAAAGAAAATATAGAGATTTATGACAGAGACAGATTTTCTGTGCCTGATGTGAAAAATCATACTTTCATGTAATCAGAAAAATCAGATTATTTTCTATGATAACAGTGTATGTTGCCTTTAGAAATCGGAAAACATAACAAAAAGTAGCAAAACAAAAAAAAAAAGCATGTAACAAAAACAGACCTCACCTATAATCCCACCAAACAGAAATTATCATTTCTAAACATTTTGATAAATTACTTTGCAGTCTCTTAAAGCAATTTTTTAAATATTGAAGTTTTTTTCTTGAGGAAAAAGAACTGACAACTATTTAGATAAAGAACAAGAATCACCTAAGTATTTGAAGAAAAAAAAAACCTTACAAACATTTGTAACATGGGAATTTTATTTCTTCCTTTAAAGAAAACTCATATTAAGGGAATTTCCAAACATTTGTAAAAGTAGAATAATATAATGAACAGGATGAACACATCACCAAGCTCATGGCTCATGGCTCTTGGCTGAGAGAGTAGTTGATTTGGAATCAGAGTGACAGGGGTGGGTAAAGGGTAAGCGGGATCCAGTTGATCCAGTCTATGATCAGGAATTTTGAGCTCGATTCTAAATTACGTTACAAATTGCTGGAGGGTTCTGAAAAGAGAAGAGACCTGGTCAGAGTGTTCTGAGTTGGGCAATTCAGGTTGCTGGCTTGTCACCTGTCAGTGGAGAGGAAACTAGGGTATAAAAATAAGGGAGGTTGATCCCTTGAAGCAGCACAAAGCCTCTGTGGACTAAGGACAGAGACAGTGTAGGAAAAGTGGAGAAGAAGGTCTGGATGAGGAAAAGATAGGAGGCCAAGGTTTCAAGCCTAGAAACATGGGTGATTTGTGGTGTCCAAATAGGTCTTGGGAAAAGTGGGTAGGTAAATGCTTTTCTTGAGATTTGGAAATTTCTTCATTTCTATTCATTGGTAATCATTGCAGGTTAAGTGAATAAAATGCATGCTCATTTATAGAATCTGAGACTTTTAACCAAGGTGGCCTCTTCCAGCAATTCCTTTATGATGGGGCAGTTATAATTTGTATTTGTGAGATATTTCACAAATCAGGTGATTGAAACTCATAATGGTAGCTAAAGCCAGAAGAACTAGAATTTCTCCCTTGCTTCTCTTCTCTCCCACCAGGAGGAGAATCCATGGAAGTTACTTATGTATCTCATGTAAAATTAAGAAGAAAAGTCTTTCTTTGTTTATCTAGAAATACATTTGTAAACATTTGCCATGACTACTCTTATAGAACAGTTATTGTTCTCATCTTGTATTACCTGCCATTTCTGTTTGCTGATGCCGAGCTATTGTTTGAAAGGGCCACACTGAAACAATATTGAACTAAGCCATATTTTTCTGTCCAGACAAATTGTGTGTGTATGTGGGGGGAATGTTAGTGTAAGTTGTTGCTTCTGGGATCTTTCATACCGAAATTATTTTACCTAAAAATTAATTAATGCTATTTAGAAATACCATCCTGTATTACAAATACATTTTATATACATTATGCATTAAATCAATATGTCCACTAGCCTAGGAATGTAACTGTACTTTCCTTGGGAAAATCTTTTCTTTGGTTAAAATAACCAAATTATAGATTTCATTTTCAATTGGAGATATCTTTTGCATTCGTGGAATAAATGCAAATCTTGTGTTAAATCTATATTAGTTTTTAATTTGTTAAACAAAATGGAGACACCTTA